AGCTGCCAGTTTCTGCCAACCTCACTTATTGGTGAAACAGCCAGCAGTGCATCAGGCAAAATGTAAGGGTTAGCTATAATAATAATAATAATCCTTGCATTTGATGTAGCGCCATATCACGTTGTTGAGACATCTCAAAGTGCTTCACAGAATTTATTGTAAAGACTGAGTATTTTGTGGGCGAAACCCAGCAGCCAAATGCACACTGCAGTGTCCCACAAACAGTTGTGGATTGAATGATCAAATTATTTATTTTTGTGAAGGGATTATTACCCTCGGAAAGCAATCCGTCAATCAAATAACAACCAGGTTTCTACTTACTGCTGGGTAAACTGAGACGAGTGGAGTAAGGAAACTCGCCTAACGTTTCGCCCCTTCTGGGAATCAAATGCAGACCCTCTCGCTTGCGAGACAAGTTCTCTAACCAATAAACTACAGGACTCCACATCCACATCTTCTATACTAATAATAATCTCTGCATTTGCACTTTGGGATGTCCTCCCAATGCGAAAGGCTCTATATAAATGTAAATTGTGTTGTGGCGTACAGCGTCTTTCACGGCGGGAGGACATATCAAAGCATCTCACAGGATTTACTGTAAGGTGTAATGACTGTGTATTTGTAGAAATTACAGCTCCCACTCTGGCACATCTACTTACAAGGATAAAGGAGGATTCAATCCCCCACAAGCTCGGGAGATATTCTGTGGTTATGGCTCAGCGTTTAGGGAGTAGGGATAGGATCTGCAATATTCCTTATGGCATTTCACATCCTGAGAGTTCCGCTCACCAGTCCTCACTAACACCATCAGCCCTGGTAGGCATCACATCTTGAAATGATAAAATATCACTGGATTCTGTGGCTTTATAAAAATAATAATAATCCTTGCATTTGATATAGCGCTTTTCACGTTTTCTCGACGTCTCAAAGCGCCTCACAGAATAGACTGTAAAGTGAATTGACTGTATATTTGTGGGCGAAACGCGGCAGCCAATTGCGCACAGCAGTGTCCCACAAACAATCGTGGATCGAAAATTACCAATTTATTATTGCTTTTGGTTTGTGGAGGGATTATTATTAGGTGTGTGGAGTAAGGAAACTTGCCCAAGGTTTCGCCCTGCCTGGAATTGAACTTAGGTCTCTCGCTTGCAAAGCGAGTGCTCTAACCACTGAGCTACAGGACTTTATGCCTGGATCTAGGATGTTACTCTGGTGGCTTTCAATGGCAAGCTATGCGGCTTTAGCTGGTTAAACTCCAGCGATATCCTAACTAACACTCCTCAAGCCTTGGCTTGCCAACTTCTGCTCCTACCCCCAGCTCAGGTGTCAAACCAGTATTGTTAAGCGCCTTGGGATGTCCTCCTGACTTGAAAGGCGCTGGATAACTTAAATTCTATTGTATTACTTGTTGGTATTAGTTAAGCAGGGTGCGTTCATCCCTCCTGAGAGAGAGTGCGCAATCCATTCCCGATGTAAGAACATTTCCACGTGTAACTGGCTTACATATGTGGAACTTTCAGTCTGTTTTGGGTACCGTTAAGCATGATGATGGGTTTCCACATATGTCAGACACTAGGCTGACAAAAGAAAAAGATGGATTAACAATGCCTTTGCTCAATCCACCTTGCTCTCACTCCAACAGGTGTAATTCCACTCGCCTCCAGTATTAACATTGAAGATAACACCCCGACTCCACTGTACAGGATTCATAATTTCAGCACGATAAGATCTCTCGTTTATCTTCCTCCTGCATGACTCCACTCATTAATACCATGCCAGGAGCTCATAATGAAATAAATAGCAACTCATTACTCTCCTATGGATTCGTGTTTACAGGGACTCCCGTCGGGTTGCCATTATGTCCCACATGGGCTCCCCACAAGGATAGAAGTGGAACGTTTACCTGCTTACAACAGATCTTATTTGGTTAGTTACAGTCTTCTGGAGTTGACTCAGTTCACTCCTGCACCTCCTGCCTGGAGGGTGCTTTGCTTTGAAAGAGTATTGACGCTTACATCAAGGAAGCGAGAGACATTCTCGTCCATCAGTTATCGCACGCAGTGCGTGCAGACATATTGTGTCAGCAGGTAATTAATGACCTTCACTGAAGGTACCTTTTAAATCTGCACGTGGTTTCGAGAGACATAAAGTGAACTAGATTTCTGCAACAGTAGGGGTTGTGGTGCTTGTAATCAGATGATGCAGCTGGGGCCAGAAATTCTACCTAGTCTTAGTCTGAAAGATCGTGTTGACTTAAAAGTTAACTGAAGAAAGTTTTTACATTCATTCTTGCATTTGGGACTGGGCAAAAATCAGCTTCCAAACTGAAATTGATTTTACTGCTGTTTCAAAGCAGTCTTTGATTTTAAGGCAAAAGGGTTTCACAGGCTAACACTAGGCGAGATGTCCCAGGTTCGATTCCCGGGCTGGATGAAACCTCAGGCCTTACTCCACATGCCTCTGTTTATCTAGAAGTAAGTAGGAACTCAGTTGTTAGTCGATTGGCACATCATTTTCCAGGGATAATAATCCCTTCCAAAAAAAGTATGATAATTTGGTCACTCAAACCACGACTGTTTGTGGAACATTGCTGTGCGCAATTGGCTGCTGCGTTTCACCCACAAAATATACAGTCAATTCACTTTACAGTATATTCTGTGAAGCACTTTGAGATGTCTAGAGAAATTCCCTTCTCTTTTCAGATATTGTCATTGGAATTTTAACATCCACCTGAACAGACAGGACAACAGTTTAACATCTCATCCAGCAGCTCTGACAAAATAAATAGATAATAATTTGGTAACTTAATTCATAATTGTTTGTGGGATACTGCTGTGCACAACTGACTTCTGAATTTCACCCACAAAAATATACAGTCAATTCACTTTTCAGTATATTCTGTGAAGCGCTTTGAGAGGTCTGGAAGATGTGATAAGGCGTTATATCAAATGCAAAGATTATTATTATTATTAAGGATTATTAATGCAACTCTTTCCTCAATAACCCTCAGCATTATATTTGCACTGCGTGTTTTTTTAACTATAAAAAAACTTTTTTTCAAATTTTATATTTAATATATTGTTTTGATCACAATAAAATATATTTAACAATATATCTTTGTTAACTTTACGACCTTTTCCATTTCCATCTCCGTCACCGATGAAAAGCAGTGGCCACTGCAAGCACTTGAAATAGCAGAGGGATATTTGAACCCAGTTAACAAAAGCTTGAGAAAGAGTCACTGACCCTTGATTTTAACTGAATCTTTAGCCTTTCCAGAAAGACTGGTGAGTCACGCCATCATAAGTACTTTTCCATGTGTGAGTGGCGCGAGCACTATGCCTTTGCAAAGTAAAAGGACGATTCCTTTGAATCTTCCATTATCTACTTTTATCACTGTAGCTTTCAAGCGCCATCAAGCTGTGACACATTGTTAGGTACAAACCTGCCAAGACAAACAAGGTGCATTTTGGTGCAGCGTTCGTCAGGAAAAGAAACACATCAGTCTGGGTTAATAGTTAGAGTACCACAACAAGTCCATTATAAAAGCAAGGTTGTGTTTGCAGGTTAGAACTTAACACAGCCCTGGAAGGAATTGCTTCTCTATAATAATCCTTGTATTTGATGTAGTGCCTTATCACGTTGTTGAGACGTCTCAAAGCGTTTCACAGAATATACCGTAAAGTGAATTAACTGTGTATTTTCTGGGCAAAATCCGGCAACCAATTGCGCACAGCAGCGTCCTACATACAGTCGTGGATTGAGTGACCACCAATTTTTTTTTGAGATATTATTACACCTGGAAAAGAATCCAGTAATTGACTAACAACTGAATTCCTACTTACTTCTAGGTAAACACAGACATGTGAGGCAAGGAAAGGTTTTGCCCTGCCCAGGAATCGAACCCGGGTCTTCTCGCTTGCGAGGAGAATGTTCTAACCAAAATGCTACAGGATTCCAACCTAACCTGTCTCTAGTGCAAAGCAAAATATTGCAAGAATAACGATAATTTGAATTTAAATAGCGCCTTTCACACTGGGAGGCATCTGGGCACAGCTAGTGAACTATTCAGAGTCACTGTTGGAGAGTTGTTTTTCCCACACGTTACATATAGCTGCACCATCCTGAGCTGGCGAGAAGCAAATTCATCTGTTAGCAACGATTGTACTGCCAATGTTCAGTACTCTGCCAACAGAAACTTGCTGTGTTCTTCATCAATCCCACATACACGTGGATAGCACAGCACAAGACACTATTTACTTCTAGGCAAAGATAACACGACAGAAGGGAAAAACGAAAGTCACGTCAAAGAGGAGAGCAGAACTTCTTCAAGGATTATTTACTTCTATCTGAATAGGTACAGAGGAACTCATTATATCGGGCTCCCATGGATTCCCGCCAACTGTGTTATAAGCAAAAGTGCTAAAAAAAAAGTGGCCAACTTCCAGGTCATCATTGGTGATATTGCTTTGTGTATGTTGCTCGAAGTTTTTGCTCAGTGACAACAATAACCAACAAGTTGCATTTGTCTAGCGCCTTTCACATCAGATGTATGTCCTAAGACATTGGACAGTGAGGAATTTGACCCGAACTGAGGGCTGGGATCAGGAGGGGTGGAGGGCAGGGAGGGTAGAGGTAAGAAGGTGACTGAAGAGAAGGGTTTGAGGTAGGCCTTGCAGGAGGCAAGAGGAGCGAGGCAATGCTACTGTGAGATGGAGTTCCAGAGGGTGGGGGCAGAGCGAGGGGGCGTCCGGTTCAGTAGAGGGTTTCATGGGGACAAATTAGTTGCGCAAACAAAATGTTGCACCATCTAATCCACGATCCTAACAGATGCCTTCCTCTGTCATGCGGCAGTCCTATCAGTCTTACTAAAGAGCCAGTTCAGCTGCTCAATCCCTTGGCTTCTCTGAGTGACAACACTTGACCTTCGTTTGTAACCTATCACAGTCAATTTGGTTTTGCTCCCAATTAGCATCTTACAGATCTTTTTCTCTCAACAGGCCTTCAGCCCGCAGCCACAGCGGAACCGGCAGAGGACGTGTGGTTAAGTTTAGCCCCTACCCTGGTAGCCACCACTCCTTCAGCACCAGCCTACAGCCTTCCAGCCCTGTCACACACTCAACTCCTTACCACATCATTCCCAAGTGATACAGGTACAGAGTATTTAATAATAATATTAATAATAATCCTTGCATTTGATATAGCTCCTTATCACCCCTTCGCGACGTCTCAAGGCGCTCCATCGAATATACTGCAAAGTGAATCAACTGTTAAAAGGCATTGAATCGAAATAATCCCTGGCCCCAGTGAATACTCTGCTCCTTCAAGCGTGGCTGCCAACTGAGCCAGGCTGATGCAATGTATTCTCTTATCCTGTAACTAACGCTATCGCTGAATGATTTCCGACCCTCGTGCGAGCGGCTCCTCAGCGCATCCGGTTATTCCGGCTTTGACCACTTGGAATGCGGTCGGAGTTTCCCCTTAGTATTTGTCTTTCGCACGAGTCCCTCGCTGATGTTACATTCCTAAGTGCTTTCAGGCTCACGCAGGTTTTAACGTGGGGCCCTTGCCATTTTATTGCAAGACTCTCTCGCTGTGCGTGATCGGAAATGTTATCTCTGAAAATGCCTATGGGGCTGGACCTCATTTGCACTGGGAGTATGTCTTGCTAAAGGTCGCCATGTAGCCCCCGACTAGTGTACTATGTACTAGTTAGATGGATACCCCATCGTTATTAAAAAGCAATTGGCTGGAATGAATCCTCCTGCACTGACAACCAAAGGATTGCAATAAAACATGAAAACAAGCTGGTAAATCAATGCAATTTTCATCAGCCTCGAAGAATGTATATTTCATGAGTTTTGCTGAATCAAAACGGAAATTTTAATATTGCTGCAAAATACGGGCCCGGACCAAATTCTTAATAACTTGTGGAGCGTGATGGCAATTTTTTTTTTGATTGAATAAAATGACACTGTGATTGAATAATCAACTGCATTCAGAAGTCCTATAAGTTGTGCTCATGATAATGCAGGGAGCTCTACAGTGGTCTGGTCAGACCTCACTTAGACTTCTAACTCTCTAGCCTCGTAAAGTGTTCCGGGACGCTAATGATAACAATAATGATCCTTGCATTTGATACAGTGTCTCATCACGTCTCTTCGAGACGTCTCAAAGCGCTTCACAGAATATACTGTAAAGTGAATTGACTGCGTATTTTGGGGGTTACCCTGCGTGAAGGGCACTATACATAAATGCAAGTTGTCGTTGAGATGGTCTTGGAGGGGACATTATAGAGGCATTGCTGCATGGAATTGAGAAAGTAAACCTAGAACAATGAAGGAGAACCCCTTGATAGCATCTATCAGTGGAGTGCTGCCTTGCCTCTCTTACAGACTCCTCGTAGACCGTGTCATTCCAAGTCCCAACATGAGGCTTGAACCCACAACCTTCTGACTCAGAGGCGAGAGTGCTCCCAACTGAGCCAGGCTGACACATCCTTGAAGAGCCGGGTTAAAGATGCATTTTTGCAAGACACAGCTGTAGTGCCACATTGCTTTCAACATACAATTTATATATAAGAACTTGCATTTATGTAACATCTTATCACATCAAAACATCTCAAAGCGCTTCACAAGTAATTGCTTGGAAGTCTGTTAAATATTTTTTGTAGGCAAAGGCAAAAGCCACTTGCTTAATTCATGCTCGCAATTGAAAACGTGATCAACATGTCACATCATGAAAATAAAATGGTAAAAATCCTTTAAGTACTGAATAAGGGTTGCTTAAGCGTAGTGAACAGGAATCAATATCCTGGAATAGAGGAAGGGGCTGGGGTTATTATCATAATCTTTGCATGTGATACAATGCTTCCAAAGACATAATGCGCTCCATGGGTAAGTGACATTAAGTAATGTTGTTGTGTATTTGCACGTAATTTGTCTCACAACAAGCCATCAATGAAGGCAATCAATATAATACAGATTTACATTTCTATAGTGTGTTTCACATCAGGAGGATGTTCCAATGTGGTTAATAGTCCTGGCTTGGCACCCGAACTCGGGGGTGGGAGCCGAGGAAGGTGGCCCGTGGGGGTGGGGGTGTTTGTGGATAAATCACCAATAAGTGTGGAGATTTATCAGGTAGGACGTGGAGAGGAATTCCCTTTTCTTTCAGTAATAATCCTTGCATTTGATATAGCGCCTTTCAACTCGGGAGCACGTCACAAAGTGCTTCACAGGATTCACTGTGAAGTGGAGCGATTGCTTTTTTGTAGGATAACACAGCAGCCCATTTGCACACAACAGCAACAGACAACAACAGCTTGCACTCATATAACGCCCTCCACGCAGGGTAGCGTCTCAGAGCGCTCTGAAACACCACCCTGCAATCATACAGCAATGTCCCACAAACAGCCAAGAACTGAGTCACCAATTTTATTTGGGAGACTGTTGGCCAGGACACTGGGAGAAACTCACTTCTGTTTTTGCACAGTGCCGTGGGATCTATAACGTCCACCTGAACGGGCGGACGAGACCTCTGTTTAACATTTCATCCAAAGTATGTCACCTCAAAACATGCATCAACCCCCTCACTCCCCCAACCTGCTTTGTCAGCCTGGACTAAGTGACTTTTGATATAGTTTTATGGGAATTTTGTATCCACCTGAATACATTCGCTCAGCATCATGGCCGATAATCCTCACATTAAATTGATAGTTCACCTCACGGCCGTTTGTGAGATGTTGCCATACGCAAATTGGCTGCTGTGTTTGCTTAGATAAAAATGTAGCTGTTGTGCTTGACAGTAATTGAAGCCTTTGAAGCGCTTTGAGACATGTCGACGTCATAGGCATCATGTCAAATATAATAAACAAATTGACTGTGTAGCTTTTTATTGAGATTCCTTAAAAGGAATCCTGTTACAATTCCTAACAACGTCAGGGGGAGATCTACTGCAGAAATAATCCTGGTGAGAGTGGATATTCCCAGTCTGTTGACGTAAACACCCCTCTGGTCCACTGGGAGAATTCCGCCTTATTAAGGAATACCTGGCCCAAAATTCCACATCGTCTCAGTCTGAAAGACTGAAAGGTTTAAGGTGGCGCAGAATTGCGGTGACTTTTTAAATGTCGTCTTAATTTGGAAGAACCATGGAAACTGGCTTCCAAATAAAAACTGGACGTTCCGCGACACTGCACCATCTCAATTTATAAGACAAAACAGAATGAGACCAGGTGGAACCTTAGCGCGCTCCGGTGACAGATACCTCAAATACCGTGGCGTCCCATAGTTTACTGATTAGCGTGCTTGCCTCGCAAGCGAGAGGACCCGGGTTTGATTCCAGTCAGGGCGAAACCTTAGGCAAGTTTCTTTACTGCTTACATGTCTCTGTTTACGTAGTAGTAAGTATGAACCCAGCTGTTAGTTGATTGGCGGATTGCTTTCCAGCGGTAATAATCCTTGCAAAAAAAATTGGTCACTCAATCCACAACTGTTTGTGCGCAATTAAAGGATATAGTATTTTGGGACATATGTGCACACAACTGCCAGGAAGTTGGAAAGCGAACTAAATGGACCTTGGTCTGTTTGTGGCTAGCATTTCTTATGTTCTTATGTAATTGGCTGCCTCGATTTGTCAACAAAATACACAGTCGATTCACTTTACAATATATTCTGTGAGGCACAATGAGATGTTTCAACGATGTGAAAAAGTGCTATATCAAATGCGAGGATTATTATTATATTATAATGCATATTATATTGCTCCAAAATGCTACATTGCGTGAAGCCCAATATATAAATGTAAGTTGTGGCCATTCAATGTGGCCTTTTGCTTTCCTGCATTGATCATTCCTTTCCAAACGCAACACACTTCCTGCTTCTGAAGTCGAGTTTGTTTCAAACTATTGTAAAAAAAATTATAGACACAGAAAAACTGTTTATGACCCATGGTGTCATGAAGTTTTAATTGACTAACTGGGGTGATTTATCTTTACAGCTAATATCCGAACACAGCTAGGATTTAGATTTCTATGCTTTATCTTGGTTATAAGCTATAAGTTGCAAACAATGTGCCCTTAATTCATTTAAGTGTTTATATTGGTTTTAATTGCATACAGTAGATGTCTACAGGGTTAGTAAATTACATAATTTATCTATTCTTTCTCTGTTTAATACTTAAAATCACCTTGGAGCTGAACTGCTTATTTCTTTTATTTTAAAAAAGAAAAACATACATCTCATCACAGAATTAATTATCACAGTGACACGGAGGTAGGTAAAAAAAACAGTTCTGTGGTAATGCAATAAGATGTGCTTATCCCAGACATCAAATGATCTGATAATATTTTCTTCAACTCAAGCTAGCTGTGTCAGCCTGGCTCAGCAGGTAAGCGCTCCGGGACACTACCCCGCATGAAAGGCGCTATATAAATGCAAGTTGTTGTTGTAGGTAACCCTTTTGCCTCTGAATTAGAAGGTTGTAGGTCCAAGTCCCAAGTTGGATTTTGAACTTATACAGACTAAGCTGACACGCCAATGCAGAATGTGGGAATTGCTGCGTTGTTGGAGGTTCTGTCCTTCGATTCAGACATTAAATGTTTTATGTCTAAAAAAAATTTGGTCACTCAATCCACAACAGTTCGTGGGTCACTGCTGTGCATAACTGGCTGTCACATTTTGCCCACAAAATAGAGTCAATCCATTTTACCGTATATTCTGTGAAACGTTTTTAGACGTTTCAACGATGTGATAAGCCCTTTACCAAACGCAAGTATTATTATTTTATTTTTAAACCAAGGTCCCGTCTGCCTGTTAATGGGGACGTTAAAGATCCTGTGGCTGGATTCAAAAAAAAACAGAGTTTCTCCCAGTTCCCCGGCCAACAATCCCCCAAAATAAAATTGGTCACTCACTCCATAGCTGTTTGTGGGATGTTGCTGTATGAAAATTGGCTGCCGCGTTCGCCCACAAATATACAGTCAATTCACTTTACAGTGTGTTCTGTGAAGCGCTTTGGGACGTCCTCCCGACGTGAAAAGCACTATATCAAATGCAAGGATTATTATTATTATTATTATGTTTGCCCAGAAAATACACCTGATCAGGCAAAGCAGGGTCTCAGTTAACAACCGATTCGAAGAATGGCACCACCAACAATGCAGCACATCCCCAGCATTGCATTGGAGTGTCAGCTTGGACTGTATGAGTTCCAACAACAACAACAAACAAACAACAAAATTATATTTGTAAAGCGCCTTTCATGTCAGCAGGACGTCCCAACAGCCAGGGATCAGGACCCGAGCTTGGAGGGAGCAGGGTTGCGATGAGGGAGGGCAGAGGGTGTAGGAGGGCGGCTGAAGGCACGGTCAAAAAGGAGGGTCTTGATTCGTGCCTTGAAGGAGGCAAGAGAGGGAGCAACATGAAGGGAGTGTGGGATACAGTTCCAAAGAGTGGGGGCAGAGAGGCTGAAAGCCTGACCACCAATGTTAGGGCGGGTCGGGCGGGAGACCTGGAGGAGGCTGGAGCCTACTGAGCGGAGGGAGCGACAGGTTGATAGAGGGTCAACAGGTCAGAGATGGAGGAGGGGGCAAGGCCATGGAGGGTCTTGAAAGTGAGGACAAGGATTTTGAATTCTATCCTCTGAGGGAAGGGGAGCCAGTGGAGCAGGATGGGGGTGATGGGATCACGGAGCCTGGTGCAAAGAGGACACAAGCTGCAGAGTTCTGGATGATCTGCAACTTGTGGAGGGAAGAGTTGAGGAGGCCGACAAGGAGTTAATTTCCGTAGTCGAGCCTTGAGGTGACAACTGCGTGTATGAGGATTGAGGCAGTGGCAGAGTCGGACAATGTTGTGGAGGTGGGGGAAGGCAGAGCGGGTCATAGCACAGATATGGGGGAGAAAGGACAGTCGAGGGTCGAACAAGATGCCCAAGTTCCTAACTGGCTTAGTGAGGTGGAGTGTGCAACCGTGGAAGCTGATGCTGCCAATACCTGAAGTGAGACCTGTCAAAGCGCTTCACAGAATATATTGTAAAGTATATTTACACAGTGTCTGTATATTTTGTGGCTGTAAAGAGGCAGCCAATTGCATATAGCAGTGACCCACAAACAATTGTGGATTGAGTGATCACATTTTATTTAAAAAGATTGAGGGATGTAATTTTGTTGTTGTTGTTAATACCCCTGAAAGTGATCCATCCATCGACTAATACCGGGGTTCCTACTTACTGTTAGGTAAACTGAAGCGTGTGGAGTTAAGAAACTTGCCAAAGATTTCATCCTGCCCGAGAATCAAACTTGCGTCCTCTCACTTGCGAGACGAGGGCATTAACCGCTACGCGACAGGATTCCATATGCTATTACGTACGGTGACTAATTCTTGTGCATTCAGAAACATTGATGAGTGATACTACGCAGCTTTCAACTCCAACGGCGTCTTGGCCGACAATACTCCTCGGTCATGTCTTCACGGCTGTTTAAGGAACACTGTTGCGTGCAAAAAAGCTTCGGCATTTGTCTGCAAAATCCGTAGTCACTGCACCTATCAGTGATGACAAGTACTTTGCTACGTTTTGACCTAATGAGATTAGCACTGAAATGCAGGTTCTTTGTGTTGCACAAATTAGCTGCTACATTCACATACAAGGCACACAGTCACTGCACTTTACAGTAAATCCTATGAAGCACTTTGAGAGGTTCCTCTGACATTGAATGGCACAAAATCAAATGTAAGAATTATTCTTGTTGTTATTCATCTACTCCGCGGCCTATATTACCAGCTAATTACAAAACACTAACACTTGTCTTGCTAGGCCATGAAGGAACAACAAAAACAATTATAATAATAATAATAATTGTATTATGATATTTGCACAAAGCAATTTCCCACAAACCATGAAGATAATGATCAATTTTATCAGCAATTCGGGAAAAACAGCCCTTGCTTTACGAATAGAGCCATGAGATCTTTACAACAACAACATCTTGTGTTTATATTGTGCCCCTCATGCTGGGTAGCATCCCAGAGTGGTGTAATGGCTTTTTGACCAGGCAGAAGGGATCTCAGTTTATCAACTCATTCAAATGACGGCATTTCCAACAAGGCAACACTTCTCTCCCTATTCCCCTCCCAAGTACTGCCTAAGGAGTATGTCCTCATAATTGTTGTCTGTGAAAACATTATGAACATTTTTGAACATACAGTCCCACCAGCGAACGTATAGCCACAGGCAGATTCCACTCAGAAAAGCCTCTGAGCAGAGGAACAACTTGTGAAAAAAACCACTCAAGCTTCTTCAACGCAACCATGCAGAATTAATTTAATTGGATTTCTCGTTTAAACATTTAGCGAAAAGATTAATCACAAGATTGGTTCGGATGAAGAAGGCCCTTTGGCCCATGTTGATCTCCACCCTTCCAGAACACCCACTCTACTGTCTTCAGATCATGAAGACATTTCAGTGCTAATCTCATTAGGTCAAAACGTAGCAAAGTACTTGTGGAGTCCTGTAGCTCAGTGGTTAGAGCACTCGCTTTGCAAGCGAGAGACCTGAGTTCAATTCCAGGCACAGGGCGAAACCTTGGGCAAGTTTCCTTACGCCACACACCTAATAATAATCCCTCCAAAACCAATAATAAATTGGTCATTTTCAATCCACGACTGTTTGTGGGACATTGCTGTGCGCAATTGGCTGCCGCGTTCGCCCACAAATATACAGTCAATTCACTTTAGAGTGTGTTCTGTAAAGCGCTTTGGGACGTCCTCCTGACGTGAAAAGCGCTATATCAAATGCAAGGATTATGGAGGTCTGAAGCTCAGTGGTTAGAGCACTCGTCTTGTAAGTGAGAGGACCTGGGTTTGATTCACGGAAAGGGCGAAACGTTAGGAAAGTTTCCTTACTCCACTTGCCTCTGCTTACCCAGCAATAAGTGGGAACCAGGTTGCTAGTCGATTGGCGGAACACTTTCCGGGGGTAATAATACCTTCAAAAAAAATATTAATAATAATTTGGTCACTCAATCCACGACTTTTTGTGGGACACCCACTGTGCGCTATTGGTTGTCCCGTTTCATCCACAAAATATATAGTCAATTCACTTTACAGTACATTCTGTGAAGCCCTTTGAGACGTCTCGAAGATGTGATAAAACGTTATATCAAATGCAAGGATTATATTATTAATATATTTTAAGGTCCTTTTTGTATTGTCTGCTTCCTCCCGTCTTTTGTGAGCGAGGCTCTCCCACGTTTGAAAGCCCTTTCATTAACAACGTGTTTGAGCAATCTGACAAAAATAAATGAGAACATCTGTGTGCGTGAGCGTCTTCTATTTACTCCTAATAGCTCGCTGAAGGCAGATATCAGTGAGGAGAAATAGCAGTGGTCTATTTTCATCTAATCTTTCCCCATTTCCCTGTAATATTAGTCCCTTCTTGCAATAAATCATTTGACGGAAGACAACTGTGTGAGGTGGAAATGGAACATAATGATTAATATGAGAGCACGTTCCCAGGTTATTCATATTTATTATCATGGCTCATAGATATTCATCACCCTAAAATATGTTCCCCATTAAGTGTCCTCACTCCTGTGACTTTGTTTTTGAATGCAGTCCTCATTTTATGTTGCATTTCCGTTGGCAGCACTCACTTTATATGTATTTATTTTTTGTGCGTGTTTGGTTACGCAGCTATCTGGCCGTCAATTATCCCGACTTCTGTACGCGATGATGCCGTCTCCCTGACGATCGTCTCCGCGGTGACAGTCCCCTCAGCGACCGTTCCTGTGGCAACCCCGGTGTCTTGCACGGACCAGCCCTGCCTGAACGGGGCAACCTGCGAGAGCGTGGACGATGGGGGAGCAAAGTGTCACTGTGCGCCCCGTTTTCGAGGAGAAAGATGCGAAGCAGGTAGGAAACATGGTTGCACAGATAGGGAGGGATGAGTTTCTTTCGGACATTTGGTATTTAGAGTTGAGGTACAGATCAGCCATGATCTATTAGCATGGCAGAACAGGCTTGAGGGGCTGAATGGCCTACTCCTGTTCCTGTGTTCCTATGAGGGGATGAGCATCACATCATAAAACAACTTATGGTGCAACACAACAGCAACAGCTTACGTTTACACCGCGCCCTTCACACGGGGCTGCGTATCGGAGCCCGTAACAGTAGCAGAGGAGGTGAGGAGGTGACCAAAAGCACAGTTGGAAAGGAAGAGGAGGAGGAACGTGGCATTACGGCCGTCAAAGGAGTCTGGACGGTGGAGCTGGAAGTTCCCTCATTGCCCGTCGACACCACCAATACCCGTGAATATTGGAAGGGGAAGGGAGCATTGCAGTTTGAGAGTGTTTGTGTCTGGAAGGCTTCAAAAGGTTACGGCAGGACCACAGACATATGTTTTCACATCGAAACACTGGGGCCACGGAGTATATATCATACACACACCCATTTCAACAGCAATCCAGCTCCGAAAAATGGTTTACATCTGTGCTACAAAGGAATGTGTGGCGATGGGAGGCCGGGGAGGCTGGAACCCCAATGCCAAAACAATCAAGGACTATAACAACAACTTACATTTGTATAGTAAGGGGTACATGGGGTAGTGTCTTGGAGCATTTCTAGGTACATACAGTAAATTACTGATAATTACTGATAATTCCACCAACACATGGGAAGTTATTACAAGCGAAAACGGCTATGCGGCAAGTTATCAGGAGTGGCGAGTTATCAGGAGCGGTGAGTTATCAAGAGCGGTGAGTTATCAGGAGCGGCGAGTTATCCGGAGTGGCGAGTTAGGCATATGTATAGCTACATAAATAAATACAGCCGGGATACTGACAGCATGATGACTTAAGTTGGAGTCAAGACAGGGTTGAGATCTCAGGAATTTATTGTAATTACATAGCACTATTCGAAAAGACAAGGGAGCTTCTCTCTCCTGATGTCCTGGCCAACAATCAGGAGGCTGGGATTGGAGAACAGTTTGGTTATGCCTTGGGGGAAGGACAGAAGGTTCAGATTGCATCGGGCAATTTCAGAACAGAACGTAAATAATGACAAATGTAATATAATAATCCTTGCATTTGATTTAGAGCCTTACCACGTCCTCGAGACATCCCAAAGCGCTTTGCAGGGTTTACTGTGAAGTGTAGTGCGCCAACTGACCTTCGCCCACAAAACATATTCACCCCACTTTACAGTACACCGTGTGAAGCGGTTTGAGACGTGTTCCTGACATGAAAGGCGATGTACCAAATGCAAGGATTATTATTGTTATTACAGATGGGTGTTCATCGTATAGCTGCTGTTGGGCACCACATGAGGGTATTATTTGTCACAGGGCACTGCTATCTGGCCTGTTTGTAGCCTGCACACACGCTTGATGTGCAGTGAGTTGGATGACAGTCTGTCAAAAAGTAATTACCAGTTTGCTCGGCAGTCATGACTAAAAGGATGCACCATTTAATAAGCAATAGAGTGTGCATTATACACATGCTGAAGCAGGTTGTACAACGGTTCTTTACAGTGGGGCTAATGCACTGAGAATTCCAAGAAGCCTCACCAGGGGTAGAACAATTAGGGTCCCCATCACGGAATTGATATCTCTTGTTTGTAGGCTATTTTCTAAGCAGATGTACAAGGGAGTTGAGGAGTAACTTCTTCACCCAGATGGCCATGTGAATGTGGAACTCACCGTCAGAACCTGTGGTTGAAGCAAAAAATACAAACCTCTGGCTTGGAGCTCCAGAGAGTGGGGTTGCACAAGGTCCATTGGTTGAGACGTTAAACCGAGGTCCCGTCTGCTGTTCAGGTGAACTTCAAAGATCCCGTGGCACTATTTGCAAAGAGAGGGGACTTTCTCCCGGTGTCCTGGCCGACAATCCCCCCCAGATAAAATTGGTCACTCACTTCATGGCTGTTCGTGGGACATTGCCGGTTTCAACCACAAGATGTACAGACAATCCACTTTACAGTTTATCATATGAAACGTGATAAGGCGCTATGTATCAAAATTCCAAGGATTATTATTATAGGTGCAGCACCAAATGCAAGCTTTATCTTTTATTATTATTGTTCATGAAGTCAAAGATAATCGAGGTTATCGATGCTGGCAGTAACCGACCTTCAGGGGCCAATGAAGATGCTGGTAAATATAAATGCAAGTAGTTGTTGCTGTTGATGGTAGGTGATGATATTAGCAGAAGATCTCCGAGCATCCCAGGGCTCACCAACCCACTGCACTTGTGCTTCCTTCTGTCCAGGAGCAGGTTCTCGTAGTGTAGCAGTTAGAGTACTTGCCTCGCAAGCAAGAGTGCCCGGGTTCAATCCCAGGCGGAGCAAAACCTTAGGCAAGTTTCTTTACTCCACACGTCTGTTTACTTAGCAGATTGCTTTCCAGGGGTAATAATCCCTCAAATAAAAAATGTCACTCAATCCATGATTGATTGTGGAACGCTGCTGTGCGCAATTGGTTGCCCACAAATCCACTTTACAATATATTTTAGGAAGTGCTTTGAGACGTCTCAATGACATGATAAGACGCTATATCAAATGCAAGGATTATTATATTATTATTATTATTAGTTACTAACACCCAGTGCTTTTGCAGCTGTGATTATTCTGAAATTGTAGCTGACAAGTGACATTGGGGCGCCTCGTTGCCAGGAATCATTATGAGGTTTTCTGCTTCCAAGAGGCAGGAGAGGGAATTGGAGATGAAAAGGAGATGATTTAGTCAGGGACATCGAGCTTTCTTGGGGGATTCAGGGATTTCTCCCAATGCAGTTCGGAAAAATGAGAGATTAAACTTGCTGGATGGTTTATTTCCCTGGAAGTTAACCCTTTTCCCTGCAAGCTGTTGTTTCATGTTGGGAGGCGAACAGTTCTGGTAACACAATTAGATTCTTACAGTGTTTTGTGGGGGAATTAGTGGAGTTAGTTCAGCAACTGCAGCTGAAAGGGCCTGTGTTAAATACCCGACTGTTCAGGTGGACCTTAAAGATCCCTGGGCACTCTTCAAGAAGAGAAGGGAGTTTCTCTCAGTGCCCTGGTTAACAATGCCCAAAAATAAAATTGGTCACTCACTTCATGGCCATTTGTGGGACACTGCTGCATGCAAATTGGCTGTCGTGTTTGCCTAAAAATGTACACAATCACTACACTTTACAGAATATCCCGTGAAGCGCTTTGAGACATCCTTGTGACTTGAAAGGGCCAATACCCAAATACAAGGAATATTATTTGTTCAAATCCCTTCACTCTCTGGCACTCCCAACCTCTCCGACCTCCTCACTCCCCAATCCACCACCCTGCGTCTCCGCTCGACTGGCACCAGGCTCCTGCTCGTCCCTCGCACCCTCCGCCCCACTATCGGAGGTCGCGCTTTCAGCCACTACGCCCTGAAACTCTGGACACCCTCCCTCAATCCCTCCATCTTACCCCCTCTTTCTCCTTTTTGAGGTTTGGCCTGAAGACTTCCCATGGTGTCTTTAATGTCCACCTGAAACAGGCAGCCAGGACTTCGGTTTAACATGGCATCTGAAGGACGGTGCCTCCGAACAGTGCAGTTCCCCCCCTTCCCCCCAGCGATTTATTGAACTGTCAGCCTAGATTGCGTAAATTAAAAGCCCAGGCATGTGAATTAGAATGAGTGAGGACAAGGTGAAGGGGAAATGACTTTGGGGACGGCACAGCAGTGAGCAGGTTAAAAGCTGAAGAAGCAATTTATGAAATTCAGGAATTCAGAAATTCAGTGTACATTCCAGTCACACATAAACAACACAGGCAGCAGCAGACAGAAAGTCAATTCAGGCAACGGCCGTCACCTTCTTCTCCATGGAAGTGATTACCAGGGGACTAACTCACTTTAATGGATCAGAAATCCATCCGCAGTCTAATTTGGTATGAGGAAAGCTGTTCCACTGATGTTTTCTGTGATCCAAGCAGGAGGTCATGGACACTATTCAGAAGACAAAAATTTTAATAATATGGGTCCCCCCCCCTCCCTGACTCAGTCTTGTGCTCCACCACTGTCACTGTCAAGGGCTCTGGGTCGCTACACTGCATGAACAGCACTATGTGAATGCAAGTTGTTGTTATTGCTGTAATCCTTGCACTTGATCTCCAGAAGGTGATGGATTTTCATAATAACATTAATAACCCCTGCATTTGATATAGCGCCTTATCACATCATTGATAAGAACTTCACAGAACATATTCTAAAGTGGAATGACCGTGTATTTTGTGGGCGAAACTCGTCAGCTAATTGCGCACAGCAGTGTCCCACAGACAGTCGGGGATTGAGTGTCCAAATTGTTTTCCAAAATTGTATTTATTTATTTTTCATGAAAAACTGTAGAATTTTATCTGCTGGATAGACCTTGCCTTTCCCCTCAGCAGCCGTAATGTTGAAACGTCTTGTGGAGTTTTATGTGCAATCGATATCAAAGTGAAGCCACTGCATTTTTTGTAGGTGAACGCGGCAGCTGATTAGCCCACCATGGAGTGAATGGGCAGATTTTATCCGGGTGGCTTGACAACTAGGTCATCGGGAGAGTATGAACAAGCCTCGATTCAACATCTCATCCAGACGTCAGCACCTTTGACAATGCAGAGCTCCCCCAGCACGGCATTGGAGCGTCAGCCTAGGCTATGAGCTCCAACTTCCAAACACTGGTTGGACCACAGATCTTCTGGCTTGGAGGTGAGAATGCTTGTAACTGAGCCAGGCTGACACTGAGATGGACAATGCCACAACCTCCTTGTCTACCATCCATTTGACTGACATCCGTCTGTGTTATGTTGTGCTCCATCCTTGTATCACCTTTTGTGTCAGCCTGGCTCAGTGGTAGCACTCTGGTCTCTGAGAGACAACTCAGAGTTGTTGTGGGTTCAAGCCCCACGTCAGGACT